CTTACATTACAGGGGTGTGCGTGGTGATTTCCTGCAGGGAAAAACTCGCGTATAAATAATATTAGAGTGTAGACGTAGCTCGTGAGCAGCGCGGCGCATTTCCATAATTCTGCTCGTTACCGGCGCGCCGAGGCCGCAGCCGCCAGCTTGTGATCTTATCTGTTCTTTTCGTTGGATACGTAAATAAAATTAATTAAACGCCTTTCGGTAGAATTGGCGTAGTTTCTTTCCAATTGTATATCCAATCTAATTAGAAGTCTGCTCTCAGTAATTAACCTTCGAAATAAGCACCCATGTGTAATAAACAGTTATCTGATTTCGCAAATTGAAATATATTTTGTTAGTTGTAAATTGGATCATTTACAATAACGTTATTCAATAATATTGAGTCTTGAATGACGATGACAGCCCAGGATCCTCTGACTGTTACACGCGAACTACTCGGATATGGGGCTGAGGCGGGCTGTGGCACCACAATCCATACATAATTAATACCGGGCAGGACAACTGGACCGGCGACCGTGCTCGGACGATTAGCATAGCTGGCCGGTGTGCGCCCTTGCACAATGCACTCATGTTCGAGACGCGCGAAATATGCACAACTGGTTACTATACTAAGCATTTGTAGCATAGAAGACAAACTGCATTGTGCAGAATCCGACATCTCCTTGTTGGTCTAACGTCTGCCACCACATCTGTCGAAGTCACATTTCCTGAATACTCGACATGTGCTCAACATGATATTAAATACTTTATTCTTTTATGTCGTCTCTTTAAATCCGATGCTACAGTATAATGTAGAGCTTAATGCATTTTATTCACTCATTCTCTCATTACTCTCAGGTTAGACGCAGTGATGTCGGTTTCATTAAAACGCTTCCCCTGCACGTCGCACGCTGAATGAGACAAAAGTGTCGAGCAAGTTTAATCTAAAAGAGCGTGCAGAATATTAAAACTATCTCAGTCGTGTTGTCACCCCTAATCGCCGCTTGCATGCATTCACCGACACGCAACGTATACCATGTTACTACCTATTTCTATGAAACCTATGAAATTACATTTGCCTTCAAATATACGATGATGATTCAGTGACGATGATAGCATTTCTCCAAGCCGTTAAAGGGTTAAATTTAGTTCAGGGCAGTTGTCTATGTGATTTCAGTTAGAGGGAGCCATCAAGGCGGTGCAACTATAAAGTTTTTAATTAAACGCGCCAGCGGTGGGGGCTTAACGACCGCATTTTTCTAGATTCCCTTCGCGCGTTCTACTCTCGGGAAATCTCTTGGCACTGCACGAATAATTGCACAAATTAATAATACCAAATCGGGAGACGAGGCGACGGCTGCGAAGCGATTCTTTTCATCTACGAAAGTGGATTACATTAGCATACATAGTGAACGATTTTAAAAGTTTCAAGTGAGTTTAATGGTGGCGGGAATTAGTCGTCATAAAGTGTCTTTTGAGCAGAGAAAGGTAGTAGTTTTTGTGGCGCGTCGCCATTTGTCTGGAGAACTGGAAGTTGGTAGCACTTGGGAGTTTTAATTGATTTACGGCAGGTGGAAGTGGGCGTGTTCGGGCTGTGAGACGAGGCGGCGCGGGCACGAGCGCGACCTGGTCTCAGAGGAGCTCACTACCCGGCTTGCTTTTAAACTTGTATTTATCGGCGCGCACAGGCCGAGCTCGTCCGCAATCAACCTCTTCTGTTTACTAAGCCGTTGGGCAAACGGACTGACTCCATCCGCTCCCGGCTTGTTATAACATATTTCTCTCATTGATATAAAGCAGTGAGCCAGTGTTTATTGTTTCGTCAAGTTGCACCTCGTATTAACTGGCATACCATAACCATAACGTTCAGAATACAGCCGCGATAGATGGCGTGCTAATGGAAAAACTTGTCTACTTTGAACAGATACCATTAAAGAAGTTTCCATTAAGTATTCGATCATAAAACGAGCTTCAACATATAAAGGCATGCTAAGAAGCTAGCAGGAGTAGCACGCGTATCAATGCAAAAGCTAATAAAAATAAAAGCGTATTTGCCGGAGCAATGTTCGACGCTTGAGCAGGAACTTTTTAACTTTCAAGTTAAAAGTGCAGCTCGTCAAATATTAATGTCATGTCGAGAAGCGGGTGAGCTCGTGATATTTTTCCCATTTTGACATTTTGCGACGACACCGCTAAGCTTCGAGGCGTATATGACCAAAAAAAGTGAGACAGGTGTTACTCGCATTTAAATTGGAAACTAGTTGAACGTGGTGATCTTCTAATCCAAGTAGTATAGTTATGTATGTAGTGACATTTATATGTGGCCCGGTGTAATCGTGATCAATACTAATTAATGACGGATGGATATTGCAATGGATATTCGCTCTGGGTAATTAATGCTGTGAATAATTATAGCAATTTACTACATTTCATACTAGTTGTCTAATGTTAGTACAATCAGCGAAGATTGCAGTGGGATATTGATAATTTCCATCTATCAATATCATTATGTAGGGACGTATCTATTTAACTCGTCGAGTACCGGTTTTGTAGACACAATTATAGAACAATAGGTTGCGGTCACCGGTGACCGCTTGGTGTTTGACAGTTTAAAGGGCAATATTTTTACGTTCATACGTAAGTACTGCAAATCACTTTACTGACAGCATTTCACTTACGGACAAGCAAACAGTTTATTGTACACGATACTTTTCTTTCATTATTTACAGAAAAAATCCAACAAAACCCCAAATCCCAAATGAAACGTGAAACGAGATCTGAAATTACGAAGCCGAAAATATAATATTTAAGTATTAAAGTAACGTGCGGGGTTCGCATATTAATGAGCCATGATACAATGAACTGAAATGTACGGTCTGTGACCACCCCTAGCGTGAATCAGCCGAGCCAAATGTTATTGCTCCGTTCCGGCTGCGGCAGTAATGCTACTATCCTAGGGCTGTCAAAAACGGTGAAAGTTCACACTTAAATTTTAACAATCCCTCAGCTTCCGGTGATACAAAATCCCTCACTTTGACGTGCCAAAGAGTTTTTCTTTAACTAAGAAGTTCACAAAGAAATAATTTGTATTGTTTGAAACATTTTAAAGCTGTCGGAATTTTCCTTGTTAGCAACAACACGGATAGGGTTGCCCGTCCCTACTCAGATCCTGTAATTGTGAAAGTCTCAGCGCAGGCCGATATGTATCGCTACCCTTTCAAATGGACCATTTGGACTGTATAAGTGTGCACCCTTTCACCACCATTATTACAAAAGACTATAAAAGAAATATATTCCTTGTTTGTATGTTGTACGCTATGTAAACGTTTCAACACAAAGAGATTACTTTTCTTAGTATTAGGTACTTATTAGATTGATCAATACATGTAAATAGTGATACATTATCAGTTAATTATGATAACGATTTTCACAGGTACACTAGTGGTCGCCCTGGGGTACGTTATTGTAATAACAAATGTCAGAAGTTATAATAAGTTTGCGTTCGACTCATTTCCATTCGATTCCCACGTTGATTACGCGCCGTATCTCTGTACAGCGACATACATCACTGGCAAAATAACACGTGTAGCGTGTATTTACATCACATGAAATTGTATATTTTTATGTGAGAATTTTGTAAATTCCTCTTTTCCGAGGATACAGAAAGGAGATATGTGCTCTGGTTGGAATTATATCATTAAAAAATTCAAAATAGATGCTATTTTCAAAATAGAATTGTCGACGTTTACATAGCGAAGCAAAAGACCACAGCTTGTTCTCACTTTACGTTCATCCGAAAGAACACAACTTTTCTTAAAATATTTTATAAGAAAATATTTTACATTACCAAATAGAAGTAATAAATCACATGAACGTAGATTATTACGCAATGACACTACAATTCCCACGCGGGCGCCATTATAATGTCTAAGTAAACATCTAGGTGAGTGATTACTAATTACTTATTTTAAAGCAATAATATTTCACCGAATCAATACTTTCCGTTTCATACATCGTATTTATTGGAAACAAGCAGTATGTTACTTATTCAACAATTAAAATTTGGCCCTGGACATTCACAATTATTAAGACCTAAATTAGCTAATTCGGTTCGGTTTTCTCCGGGCTTGCCACACTAATGAAGATATCGATTTTTATAAATATAGACAAAATTTTTGGCCCACTTTGTCAGACATATACATGTTCACTTTTAATATCTATATTTTTATCATAACATCACGCCTTTTTATCCTCAAAAGGGTAGGCAGAGGTGCACATTATGGCACTGTACAATGTAACACCCACTTTTCACTATTTATGTTATGAGTCCCATGTAATAGGGGGTGAGTCTATTGCCACATACCGGGCACAATTCCAGGCTCCGTGCTACTACTGAGAATTTTTAAAAAACCCAGTAATACTTTTGCCCGACTCGGGAATGGAACCCGAGACCCCTTGCCCGGCAGTCGTACTTGCGACCACTCGGCCAACGAGGCAGCCGTATATTTTTACGAGACATTATAAATCCACATTTGTATTATTGCTAATTAAATACCGATTTCTAAACTGACACTTGGAGGATATAAAAATATCAAACTACATTTTACAAAATGGCGCTGATATTTAAACGTTAATAACTTATTTCTCACGCTCCACTTCCGGTAAGGTTATGGTCGCAACCGACTCTAATCGACTTCAGCTTTCAGATCAATGTAACTACATCTTTTAATATGAGCTTGAAGTTAATTAATATTTTTAAATTATTTTATTCTGTATACTGATACTGAAGAGAAGCTAGGACGTCATTATGTGTAGAGCTTACCTACATTTTTTTAAAGAGGTACCCTGAAAATCTTCGTGTGTGCCATATGTAAAAAATTTAAATGCAATTATATAGTATACAGTCATAGAAGCCTTAATGCAGTTTAAATCCGTACTTTACAAAACCGAATAATACGTAGCTGATGAGACAATTAAGTGTTATCAAATAATAGACAATTCCAAATTGAACTTACCTCTTAATATCTGATAAAGGAAGACTTTGATGTGGTCGGCGGACAGGTGTTGCGGTGACACGATAATCTTGTGCAGGTCGCTCTGTAGCAGTTCTGTGATCACGTAACTGAACGGAGATGGTCAAGGAAACTTTTGTTTTCAAACATACATATAATTAAAAAAGATACAGGATTTAGTACACATTTGCTTTGGGTCTCACGTTAACCAATTCACTCTGAAACGTTGAACAGAAGCCCTAACTACTTATGCAAACGCATGCACACTGAATTCTGTTCTGATATTCATGTGGGAGCTGCAAGTGACACAAGGCATTATTATTCCTATCACCACCGCAAAGGGTGGCTTCAGAACCTCCCCGAGTGTCGCAGGACCGGGTTCTACAATGCGTCCGGTTCACAAGGCCGAAGCCCAGCCGTCTCACCCGTTATCTCGCTTATCTGCAGTACGCCCCTCGTGACCATTATCAAAATTACAGGCCAGTGCGCCTCGCACACTTGTTGCGGCTAAACTACATTACAACTTCAACGTCACGGGTGGAATTTCAACGAATTGTAATTTAGGAACGAACCCACTGAGCATTGAAGCTAAACTTGATAACGTTAGTCATATAACACATGAATTTAAAGTCCGAATTATGGCATTAATCTTATTCCCAAATGTGACTGAAAGTTTAATTTAATCCAATTAGTAAATTGCTGCATGAGACTGGAGGTAGTAAAAAGTGTAATACAAATAATTTGAGAGCATTATCAGTACGTAGCAGCGACTATAAAATATGTGTAAGTGGCAGTTATTTAATCCGTAGCGATGAATATTGTGGTCGTGAAGCACGAAGCGTCTTGAGTAACGGCCATAAAGCCTACATTCGACCTTAGCGCTGACGCATTAGCGCGGCCAATGTACAAACTATCGTGGATGGTAACTTATTATGTAAGGACGGAGACGACCGTGGCATTCTACACGATACTACTGAGAATAGTAATTTGAAGCTGATACCCTACAAGAAAAAAGATGTAAGATTATCTTGGGAACATCTTGATGGATTGGGATACCTTTCCACGAATTGTACGAGGTGTAATCAGTTGGGGGCAGAAAAATATTCGTATTACTTCGTACTATGTCATATTTTACAATTTCATTTTTTCAGAAATTATTGTTTTCAACTCTAGCTTATTGGCTTTAGATTTCACAATCCCACGATAAAGACAGGTTCTTGCAATCTCCTGTGCGGTAAGCCACATCCGTAGTTGAATTCATGGCTATTAGGGAGGCCTGTGATGATGCTAGACATTCGTTACTTTATAAAACCGTTCTGTCGAAAACCATTTATGTCTGTCATACAAAGGAATTAACTCATCTTGAAATGTATTTATCGTGGCGTTGTGTTCATTGTCAGCTGATGGTAATCTCTTGTCACTTCGTTAAGTGTTATTGTTGATAGTCTTTCTATTCACCTCTACTGTTCGCTTTGACGATCACTTTTGTGACCAGTGAATTGAGAAAATTATGTTTTTAACTATTATTGATTTATAATGTCTCCATCAGACAGTAATTACTACACCATATAATATAAAGAATCAATCAATTGTGTTTTATTATAGTGCATTTTGGAAATACTTTTATTGAAGTTTTAACTCAAACCTTTTAATGGAAAAGTTAACGTAGGTTTTGAGGAATCTAACTGTGGAATCATTTACTTTCAATGGATTATAATAATGTATTCGTATGATTAGGAATATCTGAGGCCAGAATAAAAATAACATATGTTCAGTTTAAAAGTCGTTCACATTACAAAGGACATTTGATAAGATAGGAGGCTATCAATTCATAAATATAGTCACGATGAACTCCTTGATAATGCGTATCTGATTTACCCTCCGTGGCAATGACTTTAATGGTTTTGTTATGACTCACATGCATGGCATGATATCAAAGCCTGTTTTTATTGTAAATAAACAAGCAGGAGACACCCGTGCACACGTATTCCTATCGATTTAGTAGTAAACCACTTTATGTTGTACATACATAATAAATTAGTACGAATTTTTTTTAGAATGTTGACGACGACATGCGTATGTATATTGAGAAATAAGGCCAGAGGGATTGCAAAGATAGCAAATCCTTTGAAAAGATAGCAAGCTATTTAATTATGCATAAATGGTTTGTGAACGTTGTTCAAATGCAAAACTTAAGTTCATCTGTCCATGTAAAGGCTGAACAAGGGGTATTATTAACACGAAGCGATCAGTAATCAGTGTGTATCTATTATGGCGTTATCTCCCCCGGGACCGGTCGTGGTAACGGTCAATGAGGGACTCCTATATAAAGCGGACATCTACGTAATCGTTTATTCCACGAACAATACACTCGGAACTAACAAAGAACATTGAAAACATGTTTCTCCATAAAAACTTTCGCCGTATTTCATCACGATTCCAAAGTTTTAACACAATGTGTTTCGTTTACATTATTTACATCACAATGAGAACACAAATTATGGTACCTGATGAATGAATTAATTTGTAAGTTGAACCCTTTTACATCTAGTTCAAACTCGTTTTAATTGAAGCGAAATTGAAAACTTTTTTATGAATAACTTTTTGATTTTTTCTCTCGTTGAACACTGCTCACATATTCATTAACTCAATAATAGATGTAACGTTGTATTTTAGGTTGTAGAGTTCAGGTTGGAAATCTTTTTAATATAGCAAACGAGATCGTAGTAGTAGTAATATTCTATTCCTTTATGACTAGGGGATCTAATGGCATTCTGAATGAGGTGTGAATATACGACAAGTACCTACTTAGGTCCTGGGAAGATTGCCGGAATATTGTAGTGCTTAACTAGATAAATGCGGTAATTCTCTAAGGAAAATCTAGGTAATGGCTATATTGTCTCCGGGTCTCTTTGTTTTATAACATCCCTATTCCCTAAAAAGGTAGGGTCTGGTCTTAGATTTATCTATATCATATGATGTCACATAGCTATACTCATTTTCAGCAACTATGTAATTATATACTATGAAATTACACATCAAATTATCTTATAACTTTGACCGCAAAACAGATAACCAAATAGTATTATGAAATTTTGCTAATCTAGACTTGTGGACCACAAAGACAGGCCTGTTCAATAAAACAAAATATTCTAGAATAGGAGGCTCAAACCGTATCTCACGTACCCTCCCCTATGATTACCGCTAACTAAGAGCAAAATGACATTGGTACGTGAATATAAGGCAAGGGCCACGATCAAAGAAATAACCAAAAATATTTGAATGCGGGTCGTCCCGGTCACGTACCGGACTGCGGTCGCTTGCCTAATCTGTATCTATTCGAGACCTCACCGAATCCTGCCCTATCTATAGTGCAGATTTACAGAACCAGTACACATTATTTTCATTGCTTGTTTGAAATACGAGCTTGTTTTAGTGCTAGCTTTAAAGCAGTTTCTTGTTAAGGATTTGAAACGGCACAATAATATTGAAATATGGTACATTATGTTGTTGCTGGCGCCTGGAAACAGTCAGATTTTGAATATGGTAAAACTAAACTAAAACGCACGAAAACAGAGTTTCAAAAAATATTATCTGTTTTTTTAAATCTGAAGTTATTATGTATTTCCAACTTTCGAACTTTCGCTACGAAACTCTAAATAAAATATCGTATTGTTGTTTTGCTCCTACCAAAAAATAAATTGTACAAAGAGGTCTAAACTTAAAAACTTAAACGATGATAAATACGTGTACTCGTGGGACTAGACTAACAAACGTCAACAAAATACAAGTGATAAATAGAGATGGATTATACGACGCGTCATTTAGTTAAGATAGTAGTTATCAGAATATTATAAGAAAAACAAAACATAGGTATCTATAGACGTAACTATGAATACGGATATATTTGAGGCAACACTGTGTGGTAGTTTATACTTAGTTTATGACTAGTACTGGTACTTTAAAGAGTTTAGATAAAATGTAGGAAAAGCAAAATATAAAATACCGCGGAGCTGCGAACAGTTTCAAAAATAACGTTGGCCTGTTGAGAAAAACTGTGAAAAATGGCACGGATTTCTTTAGTGCCCCTTTTTTATACAGCTCGGTTTTTTTGGGCCCATAAGTACAGATATTTCGTAACTCAATCAATTCCATTCATACTAGCGTTGAATGGAAAGAGTGGTGAATTGACCCTTGACATAGAAAACAGCTTACGATTTGCGAAAATGATTGCACGATTTGGCATGCGTCGGCCTAGATTCTAATAGTTTTACGCAATACTTCCGACAATTTATTGCATCGTTGTTATCGGTAGGTAACAAAACATTTTCAAAAATATAAACCTAATATTATTTATACGAAGAAACTATAAATCACAGCGATGTTTGATTAAGTTGAAGGAATATTCGAGGCCCTTGAAATTAAAATCACTTGACAGGCAGAACGCTGGCACGACTCAAACGGACTATTCATAACGGACCCAAGAAATTCCCAGAGCCGTTCATTTCAAACCATTCTCCAATTTATTGCAAGAATAACTAAACAGTAAGTACCTCGAGCAAATTACGTATTCGCTTGCCATATCAATTTATTTTCGTGAGATTGTGAGCACAATAAGAATTGGCAACAACGCTGGAAGAGCCGGCCGGGCCCAGGGGCTCACGAACGGTTTTGGGGCTACACCCCAGTGCCGGGGCGGTAATTATTTACTGAGGGGCTGAGATTCCACCCCCGCGCCCCTGTACCCGGCCTGCCCCTCGCCGCCCCATCAACACGACACGCAGGGTGCCCTATATGGGAGGATACACTTTTACAACACTCTGCTTTAGTTCCATTTTACTTTGTTTCTATTTTTTTGAACATCTAGAAAACATAACTGTAATACCATTGTAGCTGCGGTCATAACTTATAATACTTCATCGTCACCGGGGAACAGAAATAAAATAGAATCAACAAAGAAATAAGTACTAACCTAGACGGCAAAAAGTTTTCGCGGCCATTTATCGTTTGGTTTTCGTTCAAAAGATTAGATAGCCACAAAAAGTTTTTGTAGATCTACAATTTTGTTATCGAATCAAACAGTTTGTTTGTTCGTAAAATTGGTGAACCT